TACCCTCATTGAGCCTCTTTTAATTCACATATTATCGTCATTTACCTATGAATCTGTTAAATTATTCACTCCCAATAATCAAGTTATAACATTTTTTTAGCTTTCATTTTCACTCTCTTATTGACTTGAAATCATTTTCACTCTCATTTGAAACTTTCACCTTTTCATTTAAACTCAGTTTCTGTTTGTTTTATTTTATCCAATTTTTTACCGATAATGCTGTTAATACCTTATGTTTCAGGATTGTAATAAGACTCATCAGATTAATCTTTTGATTAATCTAATGATAAACCTCAATTAGACCTTTAATCCCTTGTTATTGCCTTGATTTTATTTTTGCTCAACTTTAAAATTGTGTCTGTTTCATTCAATGTTGACATTCCCAGTGATTATTACCCTTTAATTACAATTTAAACTTGCCATGAACATTAAAAAAGGTTTAATCCTGTAACATAAAGAAAAGGCTAATCGATAAAGTAAAGATTTAAATTAATTAAATAGCTTTTAAATCTCAACAAATCATTTTAAAACTCTGATGGATGAGATTTTTTATGCTTTAATTGAAATCAACTTAAACTATCCTTTAAACGATCATTATTATCAACTAATCAACCACTGAACCTTGATTGACACTTTCATTATCAATGGCAAATCATCTTGATAGAATGATACAAAAATGCTGCTCATTTGAATTCAAATAAAAGTTCATGCCAGCCAAACTATAAACTAGCAAAATTTCAAGAATTTTTATTCTGTGAAGTAGATTTCCGATCATTTAGGATAACTTCAATAAAATTTAAATTCATCGAAATCTCTAAATGCAAATTGCTTTAATTGTTAATCCAATTGCTATTAGCAGATTGAATGCAATGCTTGAAACGCGATATAAAAATTGATTCAATGTTGAAGGGTTATCATCATATTCAGCAAATATTAACATTTCATTTCCATGATGAAAGAAATAAAAAAAAGTGTTAAATGATGATTAAAGTTGAGATGAACTATCTTATCTTCACCTTTCAATATTTTCATCATTATCCAGGTAACAACAACCTCGAACATGAGATTGATTTTTCTTGTGACTCTTTCCAATCTAAACGCAAAATTTTAATTCCCAGCCAAGTCTATGTTAGGTTATTGATCCGACTCCTTTGGCATCACAATCATTACCAACAAGCGATTCAATCGTGACATCAACATGAAGCAAAAACTGAATAATCTGAGTAATGAAAATTTCCAATATTTCGTTCAATTGTTTTTCCTAAATAAATGACAAAACGCTTATCAAAGAGCACTTTTGTCAACTTTGCGGTTAAAAATTGTATCTAAAAAAATATGAAAATTCAGTCTCATTCATTACTTCTGGTTTAACCTGCAACTCTTGTCATCTAGTTTTTGTTGATTTATTGTCAGCTTGATTTAATTGTAAAACTAAGTTAATTAAACTCTAATTACTTGAGATTTTTATTACTTTAAAAATGATTATAATTCATGGCATAAACGTTTCATCGTTAGTATGTTATTAATAGCTTTTGAATGAAGAAGCAACAAAACATTGAAATATTGAACCTTAAATAACGTTTATGTTCAACTTGTTCAATGGACATTTGATGCTTAATTATTGCCCAAATGGTCAATGATCAAGAAAAGATTCAAGGTTGAATTAAAATTAAATTAATCATTTGAACAATGAAACAAATTGAAAAGCTTGTCCATTAATAACACAATGATGAGCCACTTTTGTTTACCTTTTTGTTAACAATTACAATAATCATTAATGTCCAAAACCTTGATATTAAACAAATGTGGACAATAATAGGACAAGAAAAGCCTTAACTGTTGAGGTCAACCAAAGCTTCAGACATTTGATCGACAATCAAATATTAAAATGATTTTTACTGTTGAACAATTTACGCTATTATTAGGTTCATTGTTGATGCTTCCGTGATTTTCAAGTTGTACTTCATGATTGAAATCATGGTAAAGATGATTTCCAATTTCAGAGGATTTCAAGTTTAAAGTTGCTTTAAAATTGTCAATGTTTCCAAAGTCAACTTTTTTCTCATTTCTTTGACCAATTTTTAACCTTTTTTGCCTCAAGATGAAAAAACCCTTTGATGATGAATGAAAAAAAAATGTAAGTTGTTTTCAATTTTCAATTCTTTGTTCATTTGTTGTATTATCATTTATTCCTAAGGCAATCAGCAGATAACATGAACCTGTTTTCTGGATACTTTCACCGTCACTTGTTAGTCACGGTCACCATCAGTCGTTATCATCAACATTGACCCAGGAATAACCAATGAAAGGTCATCAGCATTATAAATTGAAAATGAAATTCATGAAAATCTCAGTTGTCCACATTTCCATGCAAAAATAACGTGCTTTATCAGGCAACATTCATCATTAAAGAATGAGCAAAAGCCATTAAAGAGTTGGAACTTGTTGAAACATTTACCAATAATTGTCAATCACAACAAATTGATATTTACTGTTGACAAGGAAAACTAACAATCAAATCAACAGTTTACTTGATTAATGATCTTAATGTTTACAATTTTAAAGGTTTTCAAGATAATTCATGTTTACTTGAAACATTGAATTTTTGAGCTTCATCTCTTAATTGTCAGGGAAATTAGCTAAATGTCAATTGTCTTTGATTACCTTTAATTTGCCCGTATAAGCAAATTATTGATTTTTGTTGATATTAGTTGAAAAATTAAATAATAATAGAGGAATGAAAAATTCGTGGGAAAGTTAAACATAAACTGGTTAAATGGAAAACAAATTGAGATTAAACTGATTTCACTATCAATCTGATTATCGTTTCAAATTCAGAGCTTCATCTCATTTATTTGGCTCCTTTTTGCTTCTTAATGATGATAAGCTCTCCTTTACCATCATCATCATCACTCTCATCATTTTTCATGAAACCGGTCTTAAAACATGTTAACGTAAAGATGGAAATAAAATGAAAAAAAGGCAAAATTTTATTCAGAATCAACAGCTTTTTTTCATCATATTTTGTGTTAACCAAAAAATCGTAATCAAGGTTGACCTCTACATCCGGTCCTAATCTATTTTCATCATGAAACAGAATCATTTAGAAGGAAAATGACCGCAAATATTACATTGAAAATGATTGATAAACAGTCAAATTCATAATTCCTCAATTTTCATTCCTTCAACTTAACCAACAGATTCAACATTGAGTTTCAATTTTAAGTTGATTTAGTTTCACAATGGCCAGCTTCTTCTGGTCACCTTTTGACACAACTTTCATTATTTTTTTTCTGAACTTCTTCTCCACCATCGATATGCATGATTTACTCGAACTAAAAAAACCTGAAAAATTCATTGAATAACACAGAAGCATCTCAGAAATAATTTGGTCCAATGACATTTTCGGTTCGTTTTTTGTGAGAACCAGTCTTCATCTTGTCCAGTTTTTACAGCCAGTTCCATGGATGACAAAGTTCATCTAATCAGTGTTATCTCCAATCCTTGCAATTGATATTTCATGAAAAATTAAAAGCATATTCAATTAGCCAATATTATCACAAGCATTAATGTTGTTTAAAGACACTCATTAACAAGTTGATCATGAATCCTTTTGTTTCTCAATGTTTAGCTTGAAAGGCTTATTAAATTAACCTTCAATTACAATTGAATTAACTGTTGATTAGTCACGTTTGATCATCACTTGCAGCCGTTGATTTAAATATAATCATTTAACGCGAACAATAAAGAAGCCAGAAAATATCACAATCGTAATACAAATTTTAAATGAACAACCTTTTCTTTTGACTGTTTAACAATCTGTTTTTGATAAAAGTATGTTTCGCTCAGTTAACAATTTAATTCATGTTTATCATGATAATCAACATTTCAATGTATTTAACAAAAGGTATTCATTATTTATTGAGAAATGAACAAAAAATCAATGGACTTTCATCAAAATTTTCAACAAGTTTTGTTCATTGTTGACTTAAATGTTGTTATTTCAACTGATGGGTTTGTAAATCAGATAAAGCTTGAAATGCATTTGCAAGTATAAAGGGTTAAATGCATGTCAATATTTTTCAATTAGATTTCTCAGATTATCGTTTCTTCCCTGAAATATTTTATTCTTTTTTCAATATTCTCTTCAATATTCTATTCAATATTCATTCCATTATCATGACTATGGATTTAACCATCTTATCTTCATCTTTAAGGTCAATGTTTCCATTAATGTGATGAGGAAAAAATTATCACTTGAATCAACTTTCCATGAAAAAACTGAAACTCGCCAAGGTAAATCTATAATTATTCAACAAAGAATGATAATGATGTACATATTTTATTATTTAAATTATTGTTATTGATAATAAAAATCAAGTTTAATACATTTGTTGTCTTTTTTTGTGGTTACAAAAAAATCTTCAATTTACAAGTTTACTTTTGTTTCAATCGTATTTTGAAAATGATGCCAATTCAATGAAATACAATTGAACAAAATTTGCAACAAAATATTATCTAAATTGTTTTAATTGTTGAATTTTCTTCATCTTAATTTGTTCAATGATTACATTTTTGTTTGTTTTGTATTTTATACAAGGTTTAGTTAAATTGCATCCTTTGATTAATTACGAGAGTGACATTGAATAATGAAAACAATTTTAAATAATTACGATTGTTGGAAATGATCTTTGTAAGTATATTTTGCGTTTCTTTTGTATACCTTTTGATGAACAAAAGTATACAATCAATGGATTACAATCAAATGAGTTATGATTGATGTTGATTGAAAGGAGAGGAAAGATGACAAATGACAGAGGATGAGGAAGGTCGACCTGGAACCTTGAAGATGATCATGACTTTGAGGATTTTGTTACCGGCAAGTTTACTATGTCATTGACCAAACTTGTAGACCAAAAAATTGATGAAAATGAGTTGATGAAAGACTGATGATGGTGATTTTGATGATTCTTGGTTGATTGTGATTACTGTCCATTTTGTTACAGTATTTTATAAAGTATACAGAAATTTGTTTAAAAAAGTCAATCCTTTTGAGCCGTTCAAGATTTATTGTTCATCTATATTTGCCATTAAGAGGATTGGCCAGCAATTGATTTTTACCAACATAAACATCAACTTGATTATCTTTCCATCCATTGGTACCATGATGACCATTTGCTAATTTTCCCATCATTGGTCCATTTGCCCATTGATCAGAATCATATTCTGTTAAAGAGTGAATTGAAGAAGTTGAATTAAGTCGATTACAGCTTTTACTTTTCTTTTTACTGGACGAAGATAAATGATGATGGGCATTACCATTACCTCTAGCATCACCACCAGTCCCATTGTGATAGGCGACCGCAGTGGTTCCTGGATGGACAGCTAATGATGATTTAGATAAATCTGTATGAGGTAAAGTGGCATTGCCAAAGCGTCCAACAGCAGACGATGTTGAATATGATCGGTGAGATTGTCCGTCAGCGGTTGGTCGAGGAGCACCTCCGTTGCCTTTATGGGCACCATTCATTGAGTAACCATTTGGAACCAATGAATAGTTTGAAATGTGTGATCTATTGTCATCATGAAGTGGTATATTATGGAGTGAACCATTCAATGGATGATGATGCACAGCTGATGAACCATCGAGATGGTACATGCGAGCCCGAGGGATTGAACGAGCTGAATACATGGAGACAGTTTCCCATTCATTATCGGGTTTCATGGGTCCAGCAAGTGGAGGTGGAAGGGAAGGTAAAGATTTTTTCTTGTCTTTACCATAGCAGCAGGTAAAAAGGATGACTGCGAGTACAACAAAGGCACAAATAGCTGCAGTGGCACCAATCACTAGTTTGTCTAGATCAGCCATTTTGGTTCGATCACGGCGAATCTCTTGGCACAGAGTTGATGGAATATCATGGATTCCCTGGGATCGATACATTTCAACGGGAACAATGCAAACAATTATACATTCACCAGAAGGTACATGAGGTAAAACATAGCGACGAGCCGTTTTACCCAATTTGGCTCCTTTCTTGTACTCTTTTGAACCAAAAAAGCGGTAAAGAATTTGAAAACCACTGGAATAACCATCTTCCAATAAAGTGTCCCATTCAAGGATTATAGATGATTCTCTTCGGTATGCGGCCAAAAGTTTAATGTCCGGTGTTTCCGTTTCATTTGGATGTAAATGTGAAGATGATAAAGGTTTCACTGAAAGTGAATTGGATGCAATTGATGTTGTCTGTGATGAGGCACTTGATAGAGTTAACAAACTGTTGCTGTTTATCGGAGTGTTTAAATCTACTCCTGAAGGTAAATAATTACCACCATTTTCATCATTTTCATTATCAGGCCAATCTGCAGGTAAACGTCGAGATGATTTAGATAAGCCTGAATTTATATGAGCCAAAGGTGTTGATGTAAGGATATTACCACTTGAGGTTGTAGTTGTAGTGGTTATGGTTGATGATGATGGCGATGATGGTGAAGATGAAGATGATGGTACATTCACTGTTGACACTTCTGAAGTGGAAGATGAGACTGAAGGAAGCTCAGTCGGTTCATTTACACAATTTAAATCTGAATCAGTCAATTGAAGGAAATTACGATTCCTTAATTTACCAGGTTCACCGCAAAATTGTGGATGTCGTTCCCTAGATGTAACTTGAAGATCATAACTGCGAATCCATTGTAAAATCCAACGAAGTCGACAATCACAAACTAAACTTTTGCCTGTAAAATGGTCAACAAAAATGGGTTAAAATTTGGATTTAAAATGGTCAAAATTTGAATTGATAAAATAATGAAAATAATTGGACAAAATTGATTCCCTAAAAATTATCGGTACACTTAATGGTTTCATTATTTGACAATATTGAATGGCAATCTTGAAGTGATCAAATTGTATGTTAATCAAGCCAATAATTCTTTACTCTTCTCTTCATCTCATTAAATCAAATGATAATTGTTGTTATTTATCATTTGCTAATTCATCTTTGTTTATTGACCTAATCAAAGTTGAATAACATTTCAGTTGTCTCTACCTATCATAGGAAACTAAACCCTGAGGCTGGAAACTTTCTCCTTCTCTGTTATTAAAACTATTAACTTTGATTATTATATCATTTTTTTATAGCTACTAACTGTTATTAGTATCGTTATTATCATTTTTTACCTTACATTTATTACCATTGATTGTTTCACAAGTTTATTTGCCTTGGAAAAGTAATTTCAACAAAAACCTTTCCTTTGATGTTTTAACGTGAAAACAAAACAAAAATAACAATTCCCATTGAATTCAATTTAACTAAACAACAAAAGATTTAGATGTTAAATCAGATTTAATAGCTGAATAATCACGATTAACGATGGCTAAAATTAACTAATGATATAAATTACCTTTTATCAGATATAAAATGTAAATAAAGTCAATAAGCTTATGTTAGCGAAGTGCATCAATTAGATTGAAATCATTTGAAAACGAGGAATCAAGTAATTGTTCATCTGGCTTAACACAATTACCATCAATTAGGTTAATAATGAAATAACTTTCTACACTTTCAATTTTAACAATTAGATTGAATGCAATATCAAAAGCTTACCTCCAAGACTGAGTCCACGCAAGGTTGAGTTAAGATGTTTAAAGGGTTGAAAAGGCAATGTTGACATTGGATTGCCATCAAGTGCAAGAAGCGTTAAAAGCGTGTTTTTGTGGAAACCATCTTCCGGAATAGATTCAATTATGTTGAATCCAAGGTCCAAAACCTATGACAATGATGATAACAATGAGATAGAAATGAAGAAAAAAGACGAAATTAGAAGAGAGATCAACAAAACATACAAGAGGAACCCAAAAAAAGGCTAAGCAAAAGGTTGAATTGTCAGTATTTTTTGTTAACTTTTCAAGAAATCATTGCAATACCAGTTTCTGTCTCTTTTAACTTTATTATGTTGCAAGTTTACAATTACAATTATCATTACAATTGAGGTTGAAATTGAAATTGCAAAGAAATTCAACTTTCTCATTTGCAATGGTGAAAAAAGAAGGGATTCAAGAAAACAAATAGCAATGTTGGCCTCACTTTAATTACCTTTTTTTGAGCGCAAAAAAGGTTCGTGTTAAACTTTAAACCTTGAAAAACCTTGACTTTTCATCTTCATCTGTAAATCTAACCATCTTCATCATCTTGATCGTCTTCATCATCTTTCCTTTCATACACTTTCTCCCTCTCAACAACAATTTTAATTAAATTCTGGACTAATGTTGAATCTATTTTTGCACGAATCTGGTAAACATTCAACTTTACCTTTTAACCAATCTGATTTTTCAATTCAGTTTCTTTGATTGCTCATAAAGGTTAACCTTTTAATGTTAAACCAATGTTTTGAAAATAATCTTCTGCAAAAATTTCAATATTTTACTTTTCTCAATCATGAACCATCATGAATGATGATGTTTACCTAACCCAACGTCAGGAACTACAATTTTGACTTTTGCATTCATTATCATAAGCAAAAACAAAAAGCAAGAGTAACAGTGAAAAAATGATCTTCCTACAAATGCCGGTGAGCTAATTTGAAACTGTGATTACTGGGTTTCCTTATACAGCTGATTATTCATATGAGTGATGAATAAAACTGTATAATTACCAACACCCAATTTATTTTAATTTATGTGATTCTCTTTCCATCCAATAATATCATTTACATTCATAATGCATCAACTGATAACTAATAAAAAAACACACACAAAATGCCACTCAATTAGCTCACACCTAAACTTAATCATGGTTAATGGACATGCATTTACGATTGTTTTTACGTCAATTTTACAAGTTTCAGATTAATTCCAATTGTTGTTCATTCATGTATAAATACAATTGTATCATTTGTCATTGTTCAATGAACTGCTTTCCAAATGCTTTTTTTACCTGATCCCATGTATGCTTTTCAAGTTATTTTTGTTTTCACTGGCAATGGTAAACATTTTCAAAGCTAATAGACTAACACTTTCAATTGTGATTGATTTGACACTAAAAATGATAAGGAACGAGGAAATTAAATTGTTTTATTTCCAAAATTACATTGGAAAGTAAAATTGTTGAATTAATAATCAATATTAAGGTAAACCCTTATAATTTAATGTTTATCAATCAAGGTAAATAACAAGATTCAAGTTGACTGATTGTCTGGTAAGAACATCGTATTTTTATACTACTAAACATGAAAATGTTGAGAAAACAAGAAAACTAGAAACTGATTGATTTACGCTTGGATTTGCTATCGATATTGATGTTGATAAATGATGAGGTAAAAGATGAAAGGTAAACAAATGTTTTCTTTTCACTTTCAACTGTTGAACTTGTTTAATGATAAGTCAATGGTCAATAGTGTCTTGACCTTTACCTGACTGTAAACTTTGTGTCATACCTGTCAACAAAACAAGTTAGGTAAGATGAGAAGCTTGAAAGGTTAAGGGAAAAACCTTTGACCTTGCTTCAAGTGTTTACCAAAAATAATGGACTTTTGAAGGTTTTTGTGATTCTTTTTATTGTTATCCGTCTGCAACATTATTGAACTATGAATGAAATTTCTCAGGGTTAAAGGTAACCTTTGGTTGAGCTAAAAATTGAATCACAAGAAACCAAGTTTTATTATTTATTATCAATGGTTAAAGTGTTATTAGTGTTAACCTGAACTGATTGTATTGTGATTGTTGTTGAGAAACTATGATTTTGTGTGAAAAAAAGTGGATGTTAACATGATTAAAGATGATTGAAAACAAGTGGACAAACAAAAGGGATAACTACAGTTATTGAAAAATTATAATTATAATCATGATGATGATGATGGTTGATTTATTGTGATGATAAGTTTATCATCTACTCCAGAAAACACTTTCATTTTCATTTCAACCTCAGTTTAGTCTCTTTTTGAGCAACATTTTTTGATTCTAGTTTGAGGTAAAAGACATTAAGAATTGTTGAGGGAGGAAAAAGGTATGAAAATGATTTCGTAGGTTGAACCTGAATTGGTTATTTTTGTGTGTGTGAAGAACGGACAAACGGATTGTTTGACCGTATCAGGAGATGAGGATAAAAAAACTTACTCTGAGCTCGGTGAGAGATGAAATGGCTTGAGAAGGAAAACTTTTTATCAGATTGTTAAGTAAACTGAGTGAACTTAGCGAATCATTAACTCCTAAAAAGGCTTCCTCATCAATTGAAGTTATCTTATTACGTTCCAAGCTTAAAGCTGTTAGCGTTTGAAGATTTTCAAATTGCTTGGGTCCAAGTGATTCTAGACGATTTTGAGCTAAATCAAGGAAAGCTAAAGCGGTCAGGTTAGCAATAGCATTAGGAATAACGGTTAAACTGGTTCCTTTGAGGTTTAAATGTTTCAAGTGTGGTTCCAATCCTTGAAATGCGTACTCGTCAATTGATACCAAACGATTGTCAGCCAATTTTAAAGTTGCCAATTGATTGGAGGCAAATGCTGAGGCCGATAACGATGTTATATTGTTAACTGATAAATCCAGTGTTCGCAAGGCCAACAGTGATGATAAAGATTTAATTGGTACCTCTGATAGCAAGTTATCCGGTAAACTCAATTTAACCAGTTTATCTTCAAGGCCTGAAAAGGCATCGGGTTCAATTGTGGTCAATCGACTTCTCGATATGTGAAGATTGGCAATGTCTAGTCCAGTGAAGGTAGCTTTGGTTAAAGTACCGATTGTTGCATTGTTGATGTACAAAACATCAATTGGAGTTGATTTATTGATTGTCAAATGAAGAGCCTCCAGTAAACGGGTAAAATTAACTGGACTACACTGGATTGATAACTTTCCAACATTTGAATAACTACAAACACAATCAGAATGAAGATCGGTATAATTAGCATTAGACCACGGACACTGTGCGATTGAATTTGAAACGATGACCGTTGAAATTATGACAACTATGAGGTAGATTTGAGTTAAATATGATGGCAGCATTTTCAATGAATCAATAGAAGACGAGTTTAAAGATGACAATATCGGTGTTAACTATTCACATATAAAAACAGCAGGTATTGAAAAGTAATCCAACAAGACAAAGTCATAACAGACAAAAAAAAACACGAAACACCAAAGAAATAGAGAAAAATTGTTGAACAAAGTTAAATATAACTGATGTAAATAGTAAATAAAATAAATAGGTGAACAGTTAAGATGAATGATGATCCAAGAGTGTTAAAGTTGAAAGTTTGGTGTGAATAAAGAGTTGAACTTGAGTTTAGCTGTTGATGTCCTGCGAGTCATCAAGTTAACAAAAAAAGCTATCCAACATCAACAAATTTTTATCTCAAGCAAAAAAAAGGTTGAGATATAGCTGGAACTACGGCTAAAGATCAACTGAGAAGAAAATGAAAGGTAAATCTTTCCCTTGTCTTCCTCTTACCTTCTCTTCTTCTCTCTCTCAACAACCGTCTTATTACTCACTCGGATCTTTCCTCTCTTTTGGTAAACAGGTTTCTTTCGGCGTCATTTTTTCCTTTGCAATTTTTTTCTCTGCCTTTTCTCACAATATTATGTTGAATATGTGAATAACTTTCCACCTTAACAGTCATAAGAGGTTGAAAAAAAGCCAATCTTAACCAATGTTAAGAAATATAAAATTAAATAAGGCCTAAGGCCTAGACTCAGAGTCTAAAAATGTATAATGTAACAATACATTTGAAAAGAAACGTTTTTCCCTCCTTTTCTTTCCATGTCGCCATTGTTGTTTTTTCTTCGGGTCGTGATTATGCATGTTTTTCATAACGTTTATGTGCGTGTTTTAATGTACATTTTTGCTCCCATTATTTGTGAACAATCAATTGCCATTTATACCATAAACACCGAATACCTGACCAGTTAAAATGTCTCTGGAATGTGATCAAAGAATCAATGGATAACTATGAGAATATCTTAAAACATTTTATCTCTCAACCCTTATAAAGGATCATCATTATTGTTCAAATCCAACGCTTCTTTCACTTTTTTTATTCCCTTTCTAATTCTTACTCTTTTTTATGAGAAAACACCTCTGAATTTACCTTTATTTTCTTGGACTTTTCAACCTTTTTTTTATGTTTTATCTGTGTAACTTTTTTTTGGTTTGGTTTGGGCATTTACAAGCCACTAAGAATACGTTGGCTTTACTTGACTACATTTTGATTACATTATACTTGGTGGTTCAATAAAAGTAACTTGTACTTTTAAGAGCAATCCAAATTAACGCTTTTACTTTATCTTTGGAGGCAACTTTCATCTGCTTTTGGCTTAAATGGATATTGCTTGCTAAATTGTAATATAATTTTCGTGGTTCCTCTCGTTAACTTGCTAATCTTTGTTTGCTACGATGTTGTTGTGCCTGTTAACCTTAACCATTTCCCTTGGTTTAGTTTCACTGTTTTTCCACCTTTTCTTACCTTTTACAATCTTCGTCTTCCTCTTTCTTCCTTTTTAATTATCTTGAGGAGTGGTCAGTTACGAGACCACTAATCATTATTATCGTCGGACAAATTATTGACGCTTTGTTCATTTTACCTTTACAATTATCTAAACTATCACCTTTCACTTTCTATCCCTGAACTGAAAAAAAGATTCAACCAATATTTTTTAAACATGATCTTGAATCAATCCTTCCTTTGCTATTCTCATCCCAATTACAATAATTGACCAACAATTATCATTGGATTTGAAAAATTGTTTACAATTTTCAAATGCTCATTAAGTTGACTACCTCAACTGTTAAATCATATGTTAAACCAAATTGGTATACAAGGATGAGGACAAAAAGAATAGGGAAAAGTGCCTAGAAATAGAATTTTTTCAAAGTCTAGTATAAGATGTAAAATGCCATGTTAATTCCAAAAATCGATTCGATTTTTCAAAATAATGTATAGTTTCTGAGTTATCAGGTAAAGAATGTCAATAATGTCAATATGCTGAAAATGAACTGGACCAGTTTTGAGTGACAAAGTATTTTCAATATTTAGTACATTATTGACTGTCCGCTATCCAAAAAATATATCGTCATATTTCTATCATCGGGGCGTCTATGACTTTTTTGATAACCCTTAGTATTTTTTGCGGTTTTCAGCCTTTTTGCCCCTAAGATGCTTTGAGTGACAAAGTATTTTGAGCATCTATCATACATTCGACAATCTTCTATCCAAAAAATGTATCGTCATACTCCTAACATCGGGGCGTCTATTAATTTTTTGATAACCCTTGATATCTGTTTCGGGTTTTAGCCTCTTGGCCCCTTAGATGCTTTGAGTGACAAAGTATTTTGAACATTTTGTACATAATCAACTGCCTTCTATTCAAAAAATGTATCAGTATATTTCTATCATCGGGGCGTCTATGACTTTTTTGATAACCCTTGATATTTTTTGCGGTTTTCAGCCTTTTGGCCCATAAGATGCTTTGAGTGACAAAGTATTTTGAACATCTATCATACATTGGAACATCTTCTATCCAAAAAATGTATCAGGATATTGATATCATCGGGGCGTAAACGCTGTTTTTCAAGAAAACTATTATTTTTTGAATTTTTGCTATCTTGAAAATAGTATATACCTCCCGATGATACAGATACACTGATAGATTTTTTGGAGAGAAAATGGTCCAATGTATAGTAAACATACGAAATCCTTTGTCACTAAAATGACCTAAGTGGCCAAATGACTAAAAACCGCAACAAGTGACTTGCGTTATCAAAAAAGTCATAGACGCCCCGACGATAGAAATATACCGATACATTTTTTGGGTAGAGACTGGTCCAATGTATGATAAATATTCGAAATACTTTGTCACTCAAATCATCTAAGAGATCAAAAGGCTGAAAACTGAAAAAAAAATATCAAGCGTTATCAAAAAAGTCATAGACGCCCCGATGATAGAAATATACTGATACATTTTTTGAATAGAGGGCAGTTGATTATGTACAAAATGTTCAAAATACTTTGTCACTCAAAACTGGTTCAGGCCATTTTCAACATTTTAACATTTTTGACCTGATAACTCGAAAACTATACATCATATCGAAAAATGGAATCAATTTTTGGAATTGGCATGAAATTTTACATCAAAAACGAGACTTTGAGGAAATTCTATTTTTTAGGCAGTTTCTGTCTTTATCCTTTGATTTGTTTTGTCTCATTTTTTGTCTATTGTTTTTAAACCCATTTTGACTGTTATTTTCATTTTTTATTGTTTCACTTTTATCAAAAAAATCATCTTACCTTTCAAGGTACTTTCAATTTTGTAAAACTCAGCATGTCTTTGACTTTCAATTTTTAACTTAATCATATCGGATTAGATTAAATTGTTACTCTAAAGCCTACTGATTATTATTCAGGTCAACACTTGAAACAATTGATAACCTTGGAAATGTAATATAGCTTGATAGTTTTACCATCCAAACAACCAATAACATGTTAATCTGATTCATTTTAACATGCATTTCAATACTAAAATTACTTTCATTAACATGCTTACATTTACATGCCAATGAAATAGTGCCTTCAATTGATCCTTTGCCTATCAATTCATATTAAAATGTTTCATAAAAATAACCTTAAATATGAAGCGTTTAAATTGTTAATACACTTTAAAGCAACAGATTTAATCCATCAATCTTGATCCCATCGGTAAAGTCCAAATGTTGATATTTACCTGCCTAACAGACTGTCAACATTTAAACCAATGTCATTGTTTTCACTTTTGTCTACCTTTAAGCAAACTCTCTTCTTAAAAGTAAAATTATTTGCTCCAAAGAGCATCATCAATCAGTTGTTACCTGTTGAAACAAGATTAACAATGAGTCAACTAATCAAGACTAAAAACTTGGAAACAAAAAAAAGTGACAATCAAAAGCCAGGAGGCGAAAAAAATGGACAAAGATGTGCCTTTTTCATCTCATTTTTACCGTTTTATCGCTAAAAATTTCCGTGTAAAGATGAACAATGAACCGGATAACGGATAATCATCATTTGAAATGATAATCATCAGGAAACTCATGATAAACTGGCTGTCATGTTAAACAATCCTTAAATTTAAAGGTTCACTTTTTTACTCCATTCTTGGCCATGCTTTACCATCCAATATCAATTGACATTTTTCACTTCATTTTGCTCTTCATCCATATTATCAATGATCTGATTTCCATCTGTTAACCATGATTACAATGGTTTCTGGTGTTGTGATGAACTTGTGCCAAAAATAATTGCAACAACGTTTCCTCCATCGGTTCATTGGTTCTTCACATTGTTGTTAATTGTTATTTATTGCCCAATTTAATTGTCCTCTGGTCATCACATATGCTAGGTGTGATTGTTTGACTCAAATGCTCACCAGTTTACCTCAGCAATCGTTTAGACAAAAGTTCAACTTTAAACTTTCAATGTTTAGTTTTGTCTTCAACTTTACCAGTTTCAGGTTAATCTATTTTCTCAACTCTATTCCTGAGTTCAGTCCTGAAATAAACCACCCAATAGCCTTGAAAAAGTCTCAACTATATTTCCGGATTTTTGTCTTGATAAATCAACAAACCACGATCATGTTAATTATCTATTGAATAACTTCTAACCCAAACATTTGATTAACTTTCAACACGTTTTTGCTCTCCTTTACTTTGTTGGTTTTACTGTTGACCATTTGTTTCTTCACATTAACAATCTATCATCAATCTGGTGATTAATTTGATTAAGATCACTTTAACCATTTCCTTCATTCCTGGTTACAGAAAACATTTCATCAACAAATCATGAAAATACATGAAACTTACACCTATTTAACTGTTTAACCTATTCTTAGACTCACGTTTAGATTGAATTTTGATCAAGGGTAAATTAGATTTAATTTTGCATTTCATTAAATTGTTCAAATGGCTGTCTAATATGGATTAATGGATGAGCTAATTAGCAACCTTAAAAAGGGTTTCAAAGTCAAAAGATTTCAAACTTAATTCAAACAATTCAATTCCTCAAATTAACATCAATTTTCATCAAAAAACTGGTTAACTTTAGCGTTTTGATTAGCGTTTCAATTTAAATGAGTATCAAATTTTGTCTGAAAATGAATCAATGAAGTGTTAATATTAAATACATTTGTACATTTAAAGTACACTTTACAATTTGAGTTACAATTTATTCTCCAATTGGATCAGTTAGTCCTTTGATTGTCCATTCATCTTGAGGCCAACTTTTAGGTCGATAAATGGTCGATTTAACCATTAAATCAACTTTTGAGTTTTTCTTTGAAAACCAAATTAATCTTGATTCTCTTGTCTTTGATCCTTTCCAATAAGTTAACCATTTCTTCACTTTACCTTCAGGATAAACTAAACCATTGATTTGATTGTTGTTTAACGACGAATCATTTGCTAATTTATTAGACTTAAACCACTTGAACCAGCTTATCCTTTCACACCTTTCCTCACTCTGGTCATCTTGATCATCTTCATGACCATTATCATCACCATCTTCAACCTTACTCGATCCTCTCTTTGAACTTGGACACCAACAGCAACCCACAATGGCAACAATGATAATTGTCGATGCTGATGAGACAACTGTTACAGTTGCAATTTTACCGGCAGTTAATTGTTGACATTTACCTTTAAGTGTAACAATCTCTTTACAAACCATTTTAGAATCAATTGAATCCGATTGCGATGAAATTGTGATTCTCTTCAAAATATTATCCATTTGATCAATAACAGCAAACTCTTTGGACTGTAAACACAATTCATAAGCTGTTCCTTCATTTAATGAAGTTACCAGAAAATTAATATCCTTAAATCCAGTTGAAATTAGCTCTTGAGTATCAATTAATTGAGAAATGAAACGCAATTTAACATAAAGAGTTGCAAATTGGCGAACTCTTAAAGTCCATTCTGTGGGTAAATAATGTTTCCCTTTGGGTTGACCATCTTTACTCCCATTTGAATAATCAGCCAACTGCAACCTCCATTTAACATTGATTGTTGTCTCACCAATTTCAAGTGCTTTAGCAATTGTCACCAATTTAACCTGATTACTTGAGAATCCATACTTTTTCCAATCAAAATTATTTCCAGCTTCATTTGATTGTCGCTTTATTTTACCAGACAATTTAACACAATCCATTGGTAAACAGTTTAGGTAAAGTGTTAACCCAAATGTCAACAGTAGCTTGTTCATTTCAATGGTCAACTCTGGTGACAACAAATCATTTACAATCCATTTTTAAATCTAATTTGGAGCAAACAAAAGAAGAGAATAAATTACAATTATTTGATTAGTGGACATTTTAATGTACAAATTAATCACAGTTATTTAAAGTGTCACTTATAATTATGGTTAACTTTAAATGTTACAATCTATTTTAGATGAAATTGCAATCGTCTAAGGAAATTGGACATTAATTTGTTAACAATTGAGGTCAACCTTGTCATCAATTTAATTGTAACATCTTCAAAACACCATTTACATTACAATTTTGCGTGTTAATTGTCACAACATAAACCATCAACAAGTTCAACAATACAAAACAATGAGAAAGTCAAAATGGATGAAACGTTGAATAGTTGATTTAAATTGTTGATTTTGTTACCATTGATATAAATTATTTATTTGAACCATTGAATTGTTTACCTAATTGACTGATTAACATTACCTTTTACTTGTCATCAGGTTTGATGGTTTAACCTTTAAATTATTAAAGTTACAATTGTTGATTTTACCAGTTTTATGGAAGCGGAAGTTTAAGTTCAGGTTCATTCAGATGATTAACAATTGACTGATTGTTAATAATAGCAATCAATCAATCAACATGAAATCAAATAAAGTAGCAACAAAGTATCAGCATGTTGTCTGAGCTTCCATCAACTAATAATATTATTTCAAGTTACTTCATTCACTTTCACCAATTTAACTTGCAAATGTTTATCAACAATCAATTTAACAGTTTTAATCAACAATCACTTGCAACAATTGATTGTCACCATTTAATTGGCTGTTACTTTTCCTAATTAAATTGTTATTCAATATTTTGAAGTTTACATTTTTCCATTTACTATTTTCTGGTAAACTTGATTCAAATACTTCATACTGGGAATCGTATGATTTATGTCTTATTAGTGGTTATAATGTAACTTTTAATCATTAATATCTCAATTAATCTATAGTATTTCATGTTAATCAAGGTTATTGAACATTTGAATGGCAAATTTGATTGTAAGTTGAAAGGGTTTAACCATTTTAATTCCCAATCATTAATATATTTATCATTTCTGGTCTTTTCTGGTCATTTCAAGCCTTTGATATTGAAAAGCTTATTTCTGGTTCATTTGCTTCTAATGGTTAAGGTTAATCAATGTAAATATTTTGTAACAATTAACATAATCTGTTGAATTGTTTGTCCAAAGATCATTTCATGATCTGTCAGATCATGAAGGATTGAAGATGAAACTGATTTATCACATCATTAGTATGCTTTAATGAACCAATTTAATCACTTTCGGGTTGACAAGTCGCTTTGCTGACAGTTACAAACCTTTTCAAACCCAAATTTAATGTTAAATATGGTTAATTATGTTAATCTCAATGTTAACAAATGATAACTTGGATTATTATTCAATCATGAACTCTGAGAAAATTTCGTGATTTTTCAGTCACAGCCAAAGTATCAATGACTTTATTATGAAATTTGAATTATTAATGTACAGAGAAAGGATTGAGTTTAATATATTTCATGAATCAGTTGTGATTACTATGATTATCATGGTTTAAACAATTAACAGTGAAAAGTGAAAAATGATTTGAAACAAGAAATGATAATTTTGGTATTCAGTTTTTCAACTCAACTCGTAACTTGTTTCACATTTTGCTGTTTAAATGTGATTACATTAACTTTCCCTTTCAAATTTTCAAGTTGAGTCATTAATAATCAATTAATGAATGTAAAAAACAATTAAACTATTCACAATTATGTGAATTATTATTTGATTAATTGCTGTTTAAAGCAATAACAGTCTCAACGAGTTATGTTACATCCCGATCCTAATGTAAGATTTCATGTTAACCACAGTGAACACTTTAATTTAAATTACTTAATCAAACAAGATGAAAACATTTTGTTGGGAAATTACATTTAAACTGCATTATCGGCAAATAAAAATAATTACAATTGAAATAATTACACCTTAATAATTTATCTTAATTTACCAATTACTTTTTCTGGTTTTGTTTTCATTTTCATTTTCACAAAAAAACCAAAGTCTGGTTAAGCGATTTATGCGCCATCTCTTGATTGGGTTTACATTTATTTTCACTTAATCCTTTTGTTTTTGTTTGAGATTTTCCGTAATCTTTTCAAATTTCAACCTTTGTTTTGTTTTAAATCTAGTTTTTGATCTTAATGACATTATATTGAACGTTGGTAATAGATTTTGGTTAAATTAGTGTTTTAAATAAACGGTAAACCTTAAAAAGATGAGTTTCTTACCATTACGTGATCCAAAGTTGGCTTTGTATTGGTACATTTGTGTTATTATAGATATGTTTTGCATAAATCACTGAATTACCAATAATGACTATTGAATTTGGTTATTGGAGGGACAATTGTTCAACAAACGATATAATTTCTTGTATGTGTCCGCTTAAAGGTAAGAATTTTGATTGAGATTCACTTTTTACTTTTGTTTGTATTTTGTTTACTTGAATTTCACAGTTCAAAATGACAATTTGTATTGATTGATATCCATTTAAAATTTGACTGACACAAAATAGTTCAATTAAAATTACGTCTTTTGTTAAATATCTTGTTCAATGGTGATAATCCGATAACTCTCTTAACGCACATAATAATTATGTTTCACATTTTTTCGCTTTGTTTTCACGTACCATTGCAATTGCATTTTAACGATAGACTATCCAGTCTCAAGGTAATCAACATTGAACAAGATGTGTTGTTGGTATTTATAATTCAATGGTGACCAATGAATGAGTGCAACAAAGTAACCATCCTGATAACCACCACCATGTTAGCACAATTATATCTGCCTCTTTCAAGACAAACAAAACCAATTGTTAACCTTCATTATGTAGGATCTACTTAACTCTCACTATTACCATTATTATTATATTTTTATATTTTTTAAGATCGATTTCACTTTCATGTTCAAACTTTACGAGGTCATCACTTTTGAGGTAACACTAGTTTATTTCAAGTTACCCATCTCAAGGATTTTAACGCTCATCAACATACCTTTTCCCTACCTGATGATGAACTTAACTTGTAATTTAACATATAATGAGAGGCTCTTAACAATCAATTATCATCTGTGTCTGTGAGTTTAAACTTTTTTCACATTCAATTGACAAAAGGCAATTAGAGGAACAAAAGTTTAAAATGAAAATAAACCAACAGCTAGAAATAATTTTACCTTTCAATCTCAATATCTAGTTAATAAGCTGTTGGTCATTTTGCTGAGCCTTCATAGACTCACTCAAATTTTGGGTTTAAGTATCACTAGTTGACCTCAATTTAATTCAACACAATTTGCAAATAAACGATGATTAGAAACCACAGAAATGCATAAACATCGCCTTTTAGATTAGCAGAAGTATTGCAATTTCAATGTAAATTATTATTCCTCCCCTCAAAATGCGTCTGACAAGTGAGTTGAAAGTAAAGAGTTTACTGTTTGAGTTGATTTATTTGTTACCGTTAATGGTTATGACTTTTATTAAATATTTTATTAATTTTGTGATATTTGAATTTCAGTCTAGAGCCTGACTCGCCCAATCTTGGAACATGTCTTTTGAACCAAAAACTTCAGGTATGTCTTTAATTATCTACGGCTTGTTGATGTTTTCAACGGAGTTTCAGCCTCACTATTTTTTTAGCGTTTTGAGCTCTTAATCAAATAATTATGTGTTAGTTAATAGCTTAGGCTTGCTTAGTTATTTTGACTTGTTGAAAGACTTGTAAGGTATGTTTTATTCAATTGGCAAACTTGTGCCTACCTATTGTGATATTGATCAATTAGAATAACAATGTCTGCTTATATTATATTTCTTATTTGAATTGATTGCTGTCTTGAAATGGAAATAAAATTTTGTACAATTATTTAGCCCTAGAGTTCAGTATATCTATTTGTTAAATTGCAAACCATTTTATATGGTTTTGATTGAGCCTGAAAATGACTCTAATCATGCAAATTGTTATGTTTATGTGTACTTCGTGATAACTCAATTTAACTTTCATTTTCTAACCTGTTGTTGATTTTATGTTTTATTTTTGTTTTCATCTCATTTTCATTTTTTCATACATAGATGTTAAATTGTTGTATCCAACAAAAGAGGAAACGAGAAGCCATCAAAGCTGCACTTGATACGGGAAAAAAGAATATTAAGAGAACTGGTGATGATAATGATGGAGAAGAAAAAGATTCAGAAGATGAATTTTTCGATGCAGTGGAAGATGAAAATGAGTTTGAAGGTAAAATTTATTTCCACTGATTATAATACTATTTTTATTTGCATATAATTATAGTTTATATATCAATATTAACAATAATTTTTTGTATCTACAGGAAAACAAGTGACTACTTTTGAGGGGCGATCTCATCAATTAAATGATCTAACTTTGGTTAACAGTGATGAGCCATTATTTGTCCCAATCACTCAAGATCCTGCTCCCATGACTGAGGACATGATGGTTGAACAAGTTGAAATCTTGGCTCAACTGGGCACATCAAGTGAAGGAGCAGCTTTAAGAGCTCGAATGCAATCAGCTCAATTAATATCTGACATGGAAGCCTTTAAAGCAGCCAATCCTGGCGCAGTGTTGGAAGATTTTGTTCGTTGGCATTCACCAAGAGATTTCATTACAGAATCGGATGAAGGTGGAGAAAGCAAAGGACAATTGTCGGCTCGTATGCAAACTCCTGGAAATATGTGGCGAGAGGTTTGGGAATCAGCTAAACCAGTTGCTGTTGTTCGTCAGAAGCTTTTATTTGATTATACCAAGGAAGCTGAAAAAATCTTGCATTCATTTGAATCATTAACTTTAGCCGGTTTAGTCAAATATTTAGCTCCTTGTCTAATTCACTGTGCAACAAGTCAATTGTGTAAACGTCTACAGACTATTGGCTATTCAGAGGCTACATTTGGTTTCAACATTAACGATTTAACCGGCTACTGTTCAACTGAAGATTTTGACAAATGTTTAAATATTTTGGCAAATCTGGAGACTCGTATAATCAAAGCTGAATCATTGAAACGATTGTTTACGGTTGCTCATAATTTCTACGATGCCTCCGAAGAAACACCCAATTGGAATACGTTAAATCCTTTCATTTTGGGTCTTATCCAAGAAAAAGAAATGGAAATTTCTGGTGGATCCAAGGGTTATTTGGGTCGATTAATGATTACTTTATTTACTGAATCTTCTCAAGCCTTGTATGAGGAAAAGACCACAGTTGGGGAAAGATATTCACAGGCTTATGATAAATCGGCTCTTCCTAAACCAATTGCTAAAGAGTATATACTTCGAAGTACATGTCCAAGGCCTTCAATCACATCTAAACCTTTACCTCAGCGGATGTTTGCATTGATTACTCCAAATGAATTCAGAGTCTCCGGAGCTTTTTCACAAGATACTCTATTTAGATAAATTATCTCACTTATTTGATTACTTTTATTGGTATTTTAGTCATTAATCTGTGTCTTAATCTTTGTCCATAACATATTTTATTACTATTTACCATTGATCAAGTCTTGCAAGCAGTTGGGAGTTATTGCAATTTTTTATTAATCAATCAAATTACATGTATCTTTTGTTTATACTTTCTGCCTGAGGATTACATGTTTGATATTAAAATCAACAAATCTCATTGGTTAAATAAAGAGTATTTTGTTCAATTTCATTGTTTGATTATTTTCAAAATTTTCAATCATTTCTTTAATCGTCTTCATATCATTGGTTTCGACTGATGTCTCATTCACATTGGGTTTTCTCGAAAAGTTTAAAAGTGCTTCGGAAATTTCAACTTTATTGGTTGAGCACGCAAATTTTGTATTCATTAATGAGGATAAATAAAAATAATGACCACAAAATTTTGAAATGTAAAAGAACGAACGAGATTTCTGTAATTCTCGTAGTTAAATCTACAGGAACCGTTGGATGGAAAATATATTTTAAATTTTCTGGCAACTTTCTAGACACTCTTCTCGATTAAATTGATTAAATTATATGAAAGTAGTATATAAAAACCAGGGTTCACACCACCCTAACGACACTTCCGTCTCTTGCTTTTACCTTAGCGACGTTACGGCGGTGTCAACCCTGGTTTTACTGAAAATTCCTGATCATGCAATCAAACTCCAACCCAACGTTTTATGATTTAACCTTTGGAACTTTGAAGGCAATTATGAAAGCAGAAATCAATGAACAAGTGAAAATAGTAGCTAAATGTACACAAAGTTTTGGATAATTGTTTCTGCTTGAAATTTGAATCATTTGTTTGCTGATAAGTCTTATGGAGCCATTTAAATGAAACAATAAAATTCTTGGAAATGAAGGCTCATTACTAATGATTAAAGTATGACTCCTAATGTTTTTGACTAATTTTTCAAAATTGAATTGCGACAGCTAGACTAGACTTACAGGCAACATTCAACCGTTAAAATGATGATTTTAAATGAAACCTAAACCTATTTGAGCAGCTAAAGGATGGAAATTTGAATCGATAACAAGTTAACATCAAAGTTCATTGTACATATTTTGTTTTCAAAGTTACTGTTTTAATTGATTCAAAGTAACAAGTTCATTTCCTTTAAATCTATGTTTATGTAATTTAAACTCTTATTTATGTTAGTTACCAACTATACCAACTCTAAAGTTTAATTGTACTAAAATCAATTGCAAGTTATTACCATTACTTAACTCTTGGACAAACGTTATCATCAACCACGAAAGTTTAATTTTGGTAAAGTTAACCTATTCTGAATTTGACCAATTTGCTATGATTGGTAGACAGTTTCATTGGAGTCATGTAATAATTAGGAAGTATTTAGAGATTTTTATTATTCATTTCTTCCTAAAATGGTCATAATATTATCATTCAATCAAATACATCAGGTTATGTACATAATTTGATTAGTAGACAAAAATATTGCTTTTAAAGGGTGTTTCTGGTTCGCTAGTTGTCAAAATTTGGTATTAACCTGCATTCAAAATTCATGAAATAGTGATTAGATAATTTAATGGAATATTTTGATTTATAGCTTATAAATCATAAACACCCTTCATTCTCGCAAATGAATCTCATTTTTAATTGCAAACTTGATCATTCGGTTTAATCATGTCCCAGCTAAGTAAGCCTAGTATTGATTTTGGTTTGAATTTCTTAAAACAAATTAGTTCTCAATGTGACTCAAAAAATGTACTTTTATCACCTTTAAGTGTTATTATTGCCTACTGTATGGCATTGGATGGAGCTGCTGGTGAAACAGAGCAACAGATCAAAGAGGTTCTCAACTTGGATACAATTGATAGTCAAGATATTTCTGAAATAATCAAACAGGTAATAAATAACTGGATCCATTGTTTGCTATTTAATTTAAAATCTAACTCAAATAACTTGCAACTTTTTGCATTCATTTAATTTATTCACTTGTCCCTCCACAGGTTATTGAAAGCTATCGGATATCTGCAACTGATGGATCTGAACAAAAATGCATTCTAGAGTTCGGTAATTTACTTATGACCAATAAAGATTACAAGTTTCAGGAAGCTTATGTTCAAAATTTGCAAACTAACTATTCTGCCAATGCATTCAATGAGGATTTTAATGATGGCCAAAATATTCTGGAAAAAGTCAACTCTTGGGTTTCTGAAGCTACAAGAAATAAAATTTCAACGATTCTCAATGAGTCTCCAGATCCAAATGCTATTCTGTTGCTTTTGAACACAATCTATTTTGAAGGAAAATGGTTGAAACCTTTCTCTCAAGATCGTACAGATGATAAAATATTCAACAATTCAGATGGAACGACAGTCAAGACTAAGATGATGACCTTTTCAGGGAAAAGCTTCAACTATGTTGACCGACTTGATAAAAAATTGAAGGTAATGTGAATATCGTAAAACAAAATTATAAATAAGATATTAACAGTTTCTAATATGATAAACAGATTGTCGAGATTCCATATGTTGGAAATATTAGCATGATATTGATCCTTCCAACTGAGGACAACAATTTAAAAAAGGTGATTGATAATTTGGACTCAACTGAGCTTTCCAGTTTGATGGAGTCTATGAAAAAGACGCGTTTGGATACTTTAACGATACCGAAATTCAAACTGGAAGATGATCATGAACTACACAACATTTTACCAAGCATGGGAATGACTTTTCCATTCCATATGAATTCTGAGTTTCCAAAAATTATTGAAGGATCTTTACCAATCTTCATTTCCCAATCTATTCAAAAGGCTGTAATTGAAGTGTTTGAAAAAGGTACCACAGCGTCATCGGCAACTGTAGTTGGATTCAAGCTAAAAAGTTTCACTCTTCCTTCACTCAAAAAAATCATCACATTTATAGCTGATCGACCTTTTATGTTCTTTATTCGTGATAACGAAAGTGGAGTCAATCTATTCATGGGTCAATTGAGTAACATGACTCACCAACAGTCTCTGTGAAAATATATTTCGATATCGCACAAGTGCGAAATTTATTGGAAATTTTTGTATATAATTTTATAAGAATAAACGCAACATAAAATTTACAAAGTTTTCCTTCTCCAGTTTTCTATCATATGTATTAAAATGACATATTGCATTGAGCTAGAATTATTGAGAAATAACTTAACATTGCTGATTGACTTTTTCTGTACTTACACTTTAAATTTTCTGTCCGATAAACCAATCGCATTCTGTGACCGGGCGAGTTAGAGAGCTGAAACTTATTATTTGTTTCTCATTTGTTTGAAAAATGTAAAAACTGTAGCTTCACATTGAATTGTAAACTTACATCAATTTAAAAGCAGTTTTCTTGATTTTGGCAATTGGCCTTAAAACTTTGAGGCTCAATATTTCGAGAATCGAATCACATACAATCATTATTATTTCACCAATTTAACTCTTTACTGATTAATAATTCAATTCAATTCTCCATTAGCGCATTTGGTTGTAAATGAACGAGCAAAAACTTATTCAACAAACCAAACTCATCTAAATACATAATTTCTCGGCGAGTTTCGTCAAGTTTTCAAAGGATTTAGTCGAGGACGGTTTGCTGAAGGGGTGGTCGCTCGTGAAATTACAAACACATGGGGTAGTG